GTAGTAGTGCATATGATGGTAGATATCTCTATTTCTTGTATGTGCAGATGGCCTATTCATAGACCAGCTCCTACGTTCTCTGAGATGGATACTGTTGCTAGACAGTTGTATACAGGTATTAAGGTAATTCAACTTAGTAGTATGAGGCTACATCATACTTCATCTTTCATCATAGGTTGTAGACCTGTTAGCACCATACACCAAGGGTGGTAAGATTGGTCTCTTTGGTGGTGCTGGTGTTGGTAAGACAGTTGTTATTATGGAGCTTATCAATAATATTGCTATGAAGCATGGTGGTTTCTCTGTCTTTGCTGGTAATAACTAGCCGTACTACATCCCTACTTTCCACCCTATACTACTTAGGTGTTGGTGAGCGTACTCGTGAAGGTAATGATTTGTATCATGAGATGATTGCTGGTGGTGTTATTAAGAAGGATAAGGCACCAGGCAGCAAGGCTGCTTTGGTCTATGGCCAGATGAATGAGCCCCCAGGAGCTCGTGCCCGTGTTGGCCTTACTGGTCTTACTGTTGCTGAGTACTTCCGTGATGAGGAGGGTCAAGATGTATTACTCTTCATTGATAACATTTTCCGGTATGTCCTCCCCCTCCTCCTCTTCCTACTACTATCATCATGTTGTCCCTTGTCTAGATTCACCCAAGCTTGTTCAGAGGTGTCAGCTCTATTGGGGCGTATCCCATCTGCTGTGGGATATCAGCCAACTCTAGCTACAGGTACCTACAGGTGGCCAATGGTGATGTCTTCTTGGTAATGTTGCCTTTAGATCTTGGTGCCTTACAGGAGCGTATTACCACTACTAAGAATGGTTCCACTACTACTACTACTACTACTATTCCTCCTAGTGTTGTTATCTCCTCTCTTCTTTATAGGCTGTTTATGTACCAGCTGATGATCTCACTGATCCAGCACCAGCTACTACTTTTGCACATCTAGATGCTAATACTGTATTAAGTCGTCATATTGCTGAACTTGGTATTTATCCTGCTGTTGATCCACTGGATTCTACCAGTCGTATGCTTGACCCTTCCATTGTTGGACAAGAACATTATGATGTTGCTCGTGCAGTCCAGAAGGTAGTACAGGATCATGCCCAACATCAACAATAACATGAGAGTGATAATGATGTCCTTGTTAGGTCCTCCAAGATTACAAGTCCTTGCAGGATATCATAGCCATTCTAGGTATGGATGAGCTCTCGGAAGATGATAAACTTACTGTATCCCGTGCAAGGAAGATGCAGAAGTTCCTCTCACAGGTAGTAGTACTAGTAGTTAGAGCATGCTACTGCTAACACTTGTTTTTCTTGTTTATCACCCTTTCACTTTTAGCCCTTCTTCGTCGCTGAGAACTTTACTGGTCTCCCTGGACGTTATGTTGACTTACCAGATACCATTTCAGCTTTTCAATGTAGGCATCATCATCATCATCACTTGCTACTACTCGCTGCTGCTCTGTTGTAGTATTATTATTATTATTCAGCCATTCTGAGAGGAGATTGTGATGATATTCCTGAGGCAGCATTCTTCCTTGTTGGTGATCTTAACGATGCTAAGGAGAAGTCATTGAAGTTGGCAACATCAGCTACTACTGGTTAGGTAGCTTCTCATTAGAGTATCCATCAGGATTGTAATCAATACAACGTGGTGATAAATCGTGATAGTCGTTTTTGGAATCATACCCAGAAG